TTAAAAATAAATTTAATTTAGATCTTGAGATTTATGTCCTCATTTTAAAATTAGAATTTTATTTAAGATTTTTTTTATCATAGGATCTACATCTATGTATAGATAATTTCCAATAAGAGATTCAGACGGTGTGATTTACTAGATATAACTATTGATGAACGAAAGAAATTTTGATATACGTGTTACGGTGAAGACCACTTATGCCTAGAGGACATATTTTTTAAAAATATTGCAGAAGAATTTGTTTTCTCATATAAGATCGTTAGCATTTTCAGCAGTGACATCTACCATGTAAACATTAAATCATCGTAGCACATATAGCGTAAACGATTGTTGTAAAATGTTTTATACGTCGTATCAATATTGAGACACAACACACTTCCTCACCAGAACACCAGACGGGAAGAAATGTACACAAAAACAACCATTTGAACATCATGCTCATGAGAATATATTTGAAAAATGAATTTAATTTTTGAAAAATCACAAAAGGACATTTCACTCCAGCATATTTCATGAAGCGATGCAAAAGTTATTTCAATCAACGATTATTTTTTAATCAAAACAGTACTACAGTTTTGACGTCAAAAGTGTCATTATGACGTCACAATGGATATTGCGCTCATCCATGTACAGGAGTAAATGAAGTGTTTTTCTCTTGCAAAGAATCTGAAGGAAAAATATTTGTAAATGTAAATATTCAAAATTAATTACAATAATTTGCCAACTAAGAAGATAATTTATGGAAGAAGATATTTATTTCAAAAGATATAATGCAGATACAAGTTTTATGAGATAACCTCTTTTCATTGAATGTGTCTGACCCCCCCCCCCCTTCCCTGATTCCAGATCACTGATGAGAAAGGTCATCGCTGAGTGTTCAAACCATGCATGAAGAATTGGGCCTGTGCACTGGTTAAGAATATATTTTATGTATTTATACTGACATAGTAACAAAATGAATGTTTTGGAGATGACAAACGGAGATGGAAAAAATGAAAGTTATTTTCGTGACCATTGTCGGTGATAAGTAAATTATTCTGCTTCACACATAAAATAAAATGAGCATCAGCTGCAAGATTTTCAGAGAAAAAGGTATTTATTTATCTATACATATGGCCTTTATTGTCTTTAAACAGATTATGCATATTTAAGGTCCTACAACAAACCATCATATGAAAATCCGTGAAATGTTTTAATATTCTAGGAAAGGGGGAAGGGGTACTGAAATCCGTGTAGCTTCAAAAGAGTCTGATTACCTTACATCATATTTTAACCATAAGTCACTTATAATGACTAGAACAGCATACATTAGTTCTGGGAAAATTCATTGGGTGATTTTTTTGTCTAGACATTAAAAACTGCTATTGAGGTGAAAATATTACTGCAAATTTACAATTCATACTTCCCCAAAAAACAATGGCATTACTACATCTATTGATTGCTTCCAATACAATTTTTAGTTACAATAAATATAAAGCATATTATTCAATATCTAGGGGAAATTATTTGATTTGTTTCAATTTTGTTGCGTGTATGACATAATAAATCATTCACCTCATAAATATCAAAAGTTTTAGAAAAAAAATGGTGGTTACCATGGCAAACATAACTTCCTAATAACCCTGATGACCATGGTTAATACTTCGATATAATGGTATCACTGACATAAGGCACATTATAAGTAAAAATGAGAAAAATTCATTTGGCGGAATTTTTTCACGGACCCTTGCAATCCTTTCCTTAATCAGACTTGCAGATGGCAATGTATTAATTTCTGCAATAATATAACAGCTTAGCAAATGCCATGTGCTCAACAATCTAAATTTAACATAAAAAAGGGTATGTAAAAATTTAAACCAGATCCGTTCAAGTTAAGACCTTCCCTAATTACCAAATATAGGTTTAATGTTAAGGGTCTAAGCTTGATATGAATTACTAGTACCATTTTTCTGAGATAAAACTACTCTCTTTGGGGCAATTTTTTTTTAAATACTCGTAATTCTTGTTTCTGTTTTTACTGAGTTAAATTGCCCTTTAGACAAGATGCAATATAAATCTAAAATAAACTTTACCTTAAATCAGATTTATATGAGAAGTAGAATGGGACGTTTGGTTAACCCCTTTTTAACGGAAATTGCGGGCAGGTTTAAACAGTATTGAAGAGTTCATACTTTAAAATATTAAATCTCTCTCACTTCAATTAGGGAAGCAACTACTACACATTTCCCATCAAAATGCAATAGGGGAGGATGAGGTTATTATAGTTTTGAGAAGAGCTAGTTTTCAAAAGCATATCGTTTAAGCATTAATAAAGTTATTACTATGTGTTTACATATTTTTACATTCTTTATTACTGGTTCTCTTTTTTCTATAACTACTGGATAGTTAGTTCATATATTGTGAAGTAGGGGTCTTAATTTATGCATATAGGTATATAAAGGGATGGATAAGGGGGTGGGGGTGTTTTTAGGACACACGTTGTTATCATTAAAGGTATCTTAGTACCTTAAGATAAGAGTGACAGGATCGTATCCATTTCCAATTTGGTTATGCTATTTGGGTTTGTTTCAGTTCAAAACCCTTGAAGACAACTTTAAGCAACACTTGCAAAGATAGTTTTTTTTTCTTGCAAAGATAGTTATTTTTTTCTAAGTTATATATTACTTTGTCACGCACGGAAACTTTGATATTTTTCTTAATTTAGAACATCCGTGCAGAGAAGACACTTACACAGTAAGAGGTGTTTTACTCTTTTTAAAAGTCATAAAATGAATGACAGCATTTTAGGTAATTTATGCAAGTAACCAATGGAAAAATATAGTGTGGTAAGTATCACCAACGGTAAACTGAATGAAGTTGTTTTATACGGACAAGTCCTTGACTCCATTTTTAAAAACTTGTGTTATTTCTTATTCTGTAAGTTTGTATTGTTGAAAGAGCAGGCCCTGGTAGACGGCGACCATTTGCGTTGAGGTACTGCCGCCGTCACCATGGTTCTTGGCACCCCAATGGTGGCGGTTGCAGTTCCTTGATTATTACTTGTAGCAGACACAAGTAGCCATGGCCCTTGCAAGTGTCGTATTCCGTCACACCTCAACGCAATTGGGCAAGTGCAACACATATTCTTACGTTCATTCCATTGTTTATTTACTTGATTGATATTTGAATTGAATGACTGATTAATAATTGAATGATTGACAAGTAATTGACTTGATTGATATTTGAATTGATTGATTGACTGATTGATTAACAATCGATTGATTGATTGAATTTGATTGATTATTGAATTGTTGACGTTCATGCACTTGTGACCTACCCAGTGCATGATCCGCCCGGTTTGGGTCGTAAAATTTATTGTATTGATTGTTGATTGTGGGGCAGCCCTGTTTTAACCCCCGCAAATAAATCACCATGGCCAGAATCGCCATATTAAACAAACAAAATAACATCCATATTGCTTGTTTGATTTAAAGGGAATCTGAAATAATCTATTTATAACTTTCGAAGCTTAAAGACGCCACAAGATTTCTTTGAGATGTAGTTCTAACGTAGTTGTAGTTCTTGATTATTAAAAAGCCATTAAAGCAAGATACACAATTTAAGCCAAATTTTTTAACAAAGTATCTTTGTTTAAAATCAGACAACCTTCATTTTTTTTATTTTCTCTGAATACATTCAGATATATTTTGTCTTCTTTATCCTTTATTTGCTTTAATATCTTGCAAGAATGGATAAGGTATGCACATTCGGTAATGAAAACAAAAATTTTCTGCCACAAATTCTTCTGCGGTTATAACGAGCTTTCGATTGAAATATCAGAAGATAAATTTGAGTTTTATAGGTATTTACACACCTTTCAAGAGTTCAGTTTGACAAACTTAAATAGCAAATGATATCTGTTTTATATTTATAAGATTGTTCACGTCCAAGTTAAAAATGTTGTATATATATATAGTTATAAATATACTAGTTAAAAATATAGTTAGTAATATAAATATTATAATTATAGATTTATTTGGAAAATGAATTAAGTATAATAAAAAAAAATTGTTTTACATAGGGTTCTACATAGCAATAATTGATCAGTGAAAATCTTACAAGCAAAATACTGAAAAGTTTTCCCAAAAATAAAGAATTCATTTAAAAGTCTTTTTTTTACAATACATTATTATCATATAAATAGATTATTAGTAAATAAAACACGAATTTTGAATTTCTAAATTTGTCTATATGCATGTGCAGTTACACCTAAAATAATTGATAAAAATTTTATCACGAGATTATTAAAATCAATTTCATGTAAACATTCCGATGTAATGACATATGCGTTGCTGTTCAAACATGTACCATACTTAAAAAAAACACGTAATGAAAATTATTTTTGCATCAATTTAAAGTATATGACATAAAAATAATAGATTAAATAATGATTCTCCATTATTTTTTTAATGAGACAGAATTTTCTTAAAATAATTATGAGCAATGGTCATGGTTATCCGTCATTTAAAATTTTTCTGTGTCGCAAAAAGAAATGATACGTTTGGGACTTTTTTTACAAGTGATTTGTGTACTTTCTTAAATAAGTTATATAATGGAACCATCATAGTTTGTAAAAACTGAATTTGATAAGTCTTTTGTCAACAATTGGAAAACAATACCTTTAAGCGGAACCTTGTAAAGTTAAGGTAGGATTCCTCTCTGGTATCTGACTAGATGGAATATTCAAAGGATATTTGTTGATATGTCTTATATATTTAGATGTAAGAGATTTACAAGACCATACGTTTCTTTCCTCGTCACAATTATACAACTTTAAATAGAACTGGTAAACTGCGTTTGAAAACAAGCAGGGACTATATTTTTGGCGGAATTGTGGCATATGAAAATATCTTCTTCTCTGTCTCTCAAAATTATTATAAAACATTGAATTTAGTAATATATTTTTAGCAAACAAAGACTAGACGAAATTTTCAAATGTAAGTTAAGGTAGAGACCGATAGCAATCACGTGATAGAAAGAATTCGCATATTTGCACGTGCTGTTTTTCCGGAATTCCGCAACGCCGTCAAATAAAAGTCTCCATTTACACATTGTCGTCCATGCTACAAGATGGCCGACGAAGCAATCGAGAAATTTCCTCGATTTAAAAGACAAATTTGACATACATATTAAACCTTTACGGTTCTCGAAATTGAAGCATCTTCATGAGAATCAAAATAGAAGTGAGACTGAAACCGACAATGAACATAATTTTGGTGAAACTACTTCTTGTCCAGTGTCCACTGCAGCACCACGTGGGTACACCGGTATCGATCTGTGCCTGATGTTGATTTCAATATAGACATTAAAGACCATGAGCCTACAGATGTCAATTGGTATGATGGAAAAAGTAAAATTTTTGCAGAACAGATTTTTTGTTTGCTGTGTCCATGTCAGATACATAAGGTGAATATTTACGACTTAGTATATCGATCATGGCTAAAGTGTTTGATTGTTTACGCACAGGTCTGGTACAACCAATATATTTAGCTCCAATTACCAATAACCTACATAGATTTTTTTACCTTCCTAAAGTTGTTTTATTTAGCTAAAAATTAAAACTTATTGTATGACCAGACTGTAACTTTTAGAATAGAAGAACAAAACCAGACATTTCTGGTGTTATAACATGATAAAGGCCGGATTGGTAAAATTAGCAAAAATGTAAAGTAATCATACTTATCTGTGCCTAACACACGAGGTGGTGTTTAGTTACTCAGATCAAAAAATGAAAAAACATATTTTGCTTAAATTGTTCAAATGCAGAAATATGTAAACCTTCTCTGCTTTGGATGACAGGTTATAACCCCTTTTATAAATGATAGTAGACATTTACTTGCTAATCTTTTGTCTTTTTGAAATAAAAAGCAAACTGTAAAAAGTTGCATTGAAAAAAAAAAAAAAGAAACAACTTTAGATCAAGTGCCAAAATAAAAAAAAAAAATAGGGTCAGTCGGGTAGCAGGAATCAAGACTATTTTTTCTTTTGCCTTATGTAATGTTTATGTACATGTATTGTTATACATTTATGTACAGGTATGTATTTGTTGTAAGCTCAAAAGGGCCTTGATTATAGACAGATATCATATTCATAGATTATAAAAGAAATATTAAATTAATGCTACAGGTGAAGCAAGCTATGGACTAGACAGTGTATTCAGCTTTCTCTGCTGAAATAATGTGACCAAATCAAGTGTCACCTGGAAAGAGGAATGTCAAGGGTGCTTAACATTAACTCCAAGATAGCCATTGGTTTGTATTTTTTCCTTTCAATTTACACTTGCACAGGTATCAGGGAAAATACAGAATTTTTTTCCAAGGGGGTGGTAAAAAGGAGGGGTTTTATAATGCATGTATTATAAATTTAAATTTATAATTTATAATGATTTTTAATCCTTGTATTTTTTATTTACACACCATAATGTACATACAGTATTATTGTATACATGTAGAAGCATTTTCTTGAGTCAATAATTTCTAAAAGATCATATTAATATTTCAGGAAAGTTCAAGCCAAATCTGCTACAGCAAACACAAACATAAAGTGGCATACTTGTGTGACAGGAAACGAGGAATATTTATGTCTGGACTGAGAATCTAACGGAAGATCCCTGAATCACTAGTTAGGTGCTCTATTGACTTAAATACATGTATGGTTAAATGCTTGTGCATAAACATATAAAAAGACATATTGTAAATTGAATTCAAAACTGAATAACCAAAACAATTGTAAAATGTAAATATGTTTTCTACTTGAATGAAATTGTTTCAAATGAAGCACCAAAGAATTGATATGATAATGTGAAGAAGTCAGTATTGTTTAAAAACTTATAAGTGACATGGTTTTTTTTAACAATACTGACTTCTCCACGTTATCATAGCTAAATTTGCAAATTAAATCAAGATTATTAATAAATTATACACAAAAATTTCAAATAGATCAAACTATCTACTTTATTTTTATTTTATTTTAATCATGTTACAGATCCCACGGAAATATAGGATCCTTTACTAATCAAGTGTCATCTGCAGTGTTACAAAAGAATATTGGATTTATATCAATAAGGTACATGTAATTAGGGACAAAACTGAATTTAAAAAATGGAATAAGATGTAAAAAGAAAAGTATTTTAATTCCACATATAATAGTTATGTTGTTAAAGTTGTATATGAATTGATGTGTCACTGACAGGTACATGTAGTTTTTTATTTCCACAAAAACTTTATACTTTGGTATTAACTCTTGAACAGTTATTGCTGAGTTTATTTCTTTTTCTTTAACCCCATGATCTTGGCCTTAGAGTGTGGCCTACATTTAGAAACTAAAATATTTTAGCTTTATCCTTATATACCAAGTTTGTTTAATTAAGACAATTCATTAATCCAAATAATTTCCTTGGAAGCAAAAGTGCCCAGATTAATGAGGCCAACCTTATATGCATTTATTAAAAAAATTCATGACATTATATAAAAAGGTATCTCAGAAGTGTCATACTATGTTTGCAGTGCAAGAAAGAAGTAAAACATGTATTTTCGTTCTTTTTGTTTTAAAATATTTTGTTCTTTTCAGAAAAAAGAACTACCAGAAGGAGACGGTAAAGGGGAACGGACATATCACACCATAAGACATGCTTCAATATCTGAATATACAGAGGATACAGAATGAATTTTGCTCACTGCAGATCCTTGTGAAAGAACACCTTTGTTGTATTGACATTAAAACAAAGGAATTGTCAGGATTCTTGAACATAACACAACTGGCTGCATACGATGGCAATTAAAAAATGCATACATGTTTACATTGATCTTTGTTAGCCAATAAGACAAAAAGCAAAATAGCAAGTTTATCCTATTACCATACATGTACTGAATGTATTCACTTTATTTTGTTGAACTACATCATGAGTTTAAAAATTGTACAGTATCATATACAGTTTATGGTGGGATTCTTCTAACTTTTATGAATCTGTTTGCAAAATCTATACTTTAAAGTTACAAATTATTACCTCTGATACATTGTATGTTTTCTTAGTAAATTATTACAGTATTTTTGTATGTATGGAATGATAACCGAATCACTCTCCATTTTCCCACACTTTTACCATGTGATGCTTCAGTGTATTGATATCTAACAACTGATGACCAGGCAGTCCTCATTTAACAGTGTAATTATAATACATAACACATTTTTATCTAAATATTTTTAAAACAAGGATAACATGCCATGGATTGATTCTGCATACAAAACTTCATAATCACTGAGTTTTCTTATTCATGTTGTACATGTATTTGGAATAAAAAAGGAATTGTTAAAAGAAAAGTGAATTTAATTCTATTGTTGTCAAAGGAAGATAATAAGACCAGTTTATTTATTTACAGAATTGGTCAAAAGATATTGTCATTGATAATTCATCCAAGAATCATATGTATAATAAATCTACAAAGTCAGTTTGAACGATATAAAGGAAAGTTCTTGTTTTTTTTAATGTAAGTGCAAAAAGGTCAACCAGGTCACCATGTGTCCAGGTGTACACGTATAAATTGTTTTCTGTGGTATAGAATGTAATTTAGAAGAATATTACAAAGAATTTACCTATTTTCTTTGAAATATTTTGATTAATTCTATCTATCAAAGTCAAATTGAACGATATAAGGGAAAGTTCTTATCTTTTTCAATGTAAGTGCGAAAAGGTCAACCAGGGCAACATGTGTCTAGGTGTACATGTATAAATTGTTTTTGTGATATAAAATGTAATTTAGAAGAATATTACAAAGAATTTACTCATTTTCTGTGAAATATTTTGATAAATTCTTGATAATCTCTCTTAGTCACCATATTCTTCAAAAGTGCATCCTTCTAAAGGAAGGGGGTAGGGTAGGGTGTAAGATAATAAACTTGTTCCAGGATGAATTTAAACCCCATTATGTGGTATGATTTTTTTCTGAAATTTAAGACACTTATAGACAAACTATAATATGCAATAAAAAAAGAAATTTGATGGGTAATTTTTTCACAGTGGAAGCAGAAGTTGGAGACTTTGTGCAATGAATAGGCAATATTTTAACCTAATTTGACCATGCATCTTGGTAAATGTAATTCTCTTTTTCGCTTACAATGCTTGATAAATTTAAGATTGATGTCAAATATTAATCCATATAGACCGATGTTTGAATTCATATGAGACAAATGATAATTGATATAGCAATAAAAAATTTACAGCCCTTTTCATATCATATTCTTATTTTATTTTACCCTGCTTTTTCAGCTCTTCGGTGGTTGATGAAGGCTATATTAAAATTGTTGAATTTCTCTTAAACTAGCCCGATGACCTACCTTGAATTTTTGATATGATTTAGAGCAAGGACTAAACACAAACATATAAAAAATTCAGAAAAATTCAATGGGTAGTTTTTTTGTTGACAAGCTATCAATCTCTACCTTAAATTGATAATAAAGGACTAAAGTTTCACAACATATCAATTAATAAGATTTTTCACACATACTAGAACTATATTGGCTTTTAAATGCTTCAAATCTGAGTACAGATTTGAGCCAAAAATCCGTAAAAAGTGTTATTTTTCTCTTAGTAAACGTTCAAAACTTTTAGTTTTTGTATCATTTTGTACCTTTATGTGACAATTTTACTTCATGTGAAAATTAGGAAAAGTTAAATATAGGAAGCATATAAAAATAACTAATAAATCCTAAAAATTTAAGAAAAGTAGAGGAAATTCGAATTAACAAATATCCATTTTATTTAAATTATCCATGTAAATTTGGTAATATCATCTTATAGGCCCTACATGGTAGTATCTTCTTATGCAAAAAGAAAAACATTCAATCTATAGAATTACAAGTAGGGGTCGCATGATTGGAAACCGTATTTTTTTTTTATTCCTAATGTCCAGGAAAAAGGTAATGACCTTGACCTGACCTTGCCTCTAATATTAAACGGTCAAATAATCTCAGAGATACCATCACTTAGTGATATTGTCCTCTTGATTCTGTGAAAATTTCATTAATTTTTAGATACAAGAAATGTGAGAAGAGTCCTACCGTAACTCAATTTCTTATGTGCTTGTCTTGAGTACCGACACAAGATTAAACTATGCCATTCAGTTTAGGACCCCATCTACACCAGTGCAATTTTTTTTAATTTTCACTATATGGTACGTGACATTTACTCCCAGGAAAAATAATCAAACACAGCACAGTACCTGTGAATATAAATCACTGTTGATTACTTCCACAGCGAAAATACATGTTAAAAACATGTTCAATTAGTTTATATTGACCTTTCAATATTTTTAGAATACTTGATCTGATTGGAAATTGAGTTTCCACTTCTCTACCTTCCTATTGGTCCAAAAACAACTCCTGTGTATACTCAAATAAAATATGAAAGTAATTTAAAAGAATATTCATATTTGTAAATATTTAAACAATTCACGAACTTTTCACTTTAACTTGTTTTAGCGTTTACTGGTAGAATAATGTTTAAACTTCCTCTAGCAAATTGAAGATCAAAACATACGTTATTATCTTTATTATTTCAATAAATAAACCTCTTCTGTACCTCTTCTGTACTCGTATAGGTTGCTAAACCTATTGTATATGTAGCAATAATAATTTGCGACTCAGCTAATCAACAAATATATCCAATTTTAAAAGTTCAACTCGGAACTTCTCCGACTACTGCCGATTATATGGTTGATACATATAGCATAAAGACGATAGTTTTCTATTATTTTATTATTTTTAGTTATAAAAATTACTTTAATAATTTTCTTTCAAAAATGGAATTATTTCTCCAGACCATTTTAAATGTTTTTTTTTTTTCAAATAAAAGAGACATGTACATGTGCGTCAAATGATTTAAGTTTCATTTTTTGCTGTATTATTATATCATATCCCCATTGGATTCATAAAAAAGATGCTCAACTTTGTAACATTTTCACAATATTTTCACTTAACTTATAGAAAGCAATCAATTTTGTAATTTATTACCGGTATTTCATATTATTGCAAGGACGTATACTAGAAAATATGGACATGTTTGTGATGTTCCTTCTGCATTATTTAAATTATTTTTACATATTTGTTTCTGCAAATAATAATGTGAAAATTCAATATTTTCCTTTCCAAAGTAGTACTTTTTCAAACATTACCTCATCAGATCTTTTTGAATATTCAGAAATCCATGCATTTTAATTTTTTTCAATTCTTAGATTTTTAAATTATTTTATTTCTGTAAATCTTATTATTTTACTATAAAATGCAAAGGGAAAAGAAGAACTCCATATGATATATTAAACTGAATTCTTTAATACTCCAAACAAGCATAAATTCATCCTTTTATCATTTGGTACGTGTTCTAAAAACAAATTCAAAAAATTCGTTGAAAACATGGATTATGATAGAAGCAATTGTATAACAGCAAAATATGCATATTATATAAGATATAAGGCATATATTCATGATTTATCTACTTGCACAGAATATGAATTGAATTTTAAACGTGTTACACTTTGCAGGCGGTTCCTAATCAAATTAATCATTCAATAATTATTATAAAAATGGTTTTGTATTTATAATAGTTTTGTAACTATATTATTAATGATATTCATTTTTGAGTTACGAAACTCACTATTTCTGTAAATGTCAAATGGCACTAAATGAATTAATAAAGTTTAGAACAAGGCTTCAATTTAATTTTTAATTATATAAAGCACACTAACTTGAACATCGAAAGGTAAATGACACTGATACGTGTATACGTATTTATTTAATTGTGCATAAATGTGATATGTTTAATTGCTCTTCAAATTACTAGTCTATAATTAAAGAGTTTTCTCAAATGAAAGCAAACATTTCTTTATCCATTACAGTACCCATGGTTTTAAAAGTTCAAAGTAAAGTTAAAAGATTCATATTTCAAAGAAAAAAAATAAGAAATTAGGTATATTTTATTAACGAGGTTCGATCCTCAGCTTTTCAATAGATTTTTGTCTTGGCCTATATTTAAAAAAATCTGCATAATTTTAGTTCTTACACTAAATTTGGATTCTATAATGCTAATTAAACAATATTAAATTCCATACCGAAAACATTTAGTGAGAAACTATATTTTGTGGCGGAAGGTTTTTTAGAAGAAAAAGATCAATTTTCCTCTTTCAAAGAATTCAGCATTGTTAAGTTTTGATTACTATTTTTACATGCAGTCTGCACACAGAGCAACTTCGTGCAGTGAAATGTTCCGTTATGCTGGTCCTAAATTCTATATTAAATTAACTGCCATGAATTCAATTACCATATTTGGCAAATATATCATGATAGTCTTTTAAAAACAAGCCCAATTTAAGCTTACACTTAACACTATTTTAGTAATATCAAAAAATAAACATCACAGACCCCCACACTTTTTAATTTCATTTTCTGGAGATATGAGATAATTTTAACCCTCTGCTAACATTCAGAAAAATGTCAATGCTTTCAAATGATTTAATGGCTTTTCAAATTTTTAACACCAGAAAATTTTTTTTGAGTGCAGAAAGATCGAATAATTGACTAAGCGATGTTATCTGAAACTATTTTTGTGGTCATTTTTTTAATGTGACTAATTCAAATGAAGAAAGACTGTGGTTGATCCAATAATTCAGTTGGATAAAAACGTTAATAAAATTCTTTCCCGAAAAGGCAAGTTTTTAAATTACTTTGCAAAATGTTATCATCATATAAATACAAAATTTTTATTGCAAATAAATCCGCATTTTAAATTTCTAATTTCTCTATAATGACTTACATGTATACATGTTTCTACAAATTATATAAATGTTATGACAAAAACATCTAAATCAATTTTGTGAAAATATGTGACAGACCAAGCTGAAGAAAACCACACTACAGTGTATTAAAATGATTTTTGCATCAATTTAGCGCGTATTATATAAAAAATGACAAATAAAATAATGACATTTTTGTTGTGAGAGATATAACTTTCATTAAATGGGTGCACTTTTTGGAATGAATATTTTACAATTGTCAGGGTTCTCCATGATTTAAGTCTTTTGGTCTCTAATACTTTACACGATGATCAAATACACTGTACGTGGGGTACATGTATCACACAACTTTTTTATACTAATTACTTGTTTGAATCACAAAAAGTGATCGTTTCAATCTGTATAACATGTTAAGCTTTACAAATACGGAAGCGTAAATGCTCTACACTTGCTGTGATATTACTTTGTACATACTAGTTGCGTGGACCATGAGGTCCACACAGTAAATATATCAGCGAGGTTAAACCGGATGCCATCGGCAAACGACAGGGTACGCATGCGCGAAAATGCTAGAGAGCTCGCCCTTTAGGCAACTTGTCCGTAGAATAATTCGCCCTATTCGAATTAGAATGTGCCATTCATTGGCAAATCGCGTTTTTAAATCCGCATATCGAATTTATATATTTATTGGTGGATCCGAATTTCTCTCTTATACATATATACTTTTATATATAAAATAAACATGGATTGTATGGCACAATCATTTTAAAAAGTAGGAAGAACTTGCAGCAACTTAACAACTTGAATAAAAAACGTCATTCAACGACTAATTCTAGCTTTTAAAAGTTTTCATCGGATTAGTTTTGTGCATCAAGGCTCAAAAATCAATTTGATATTTCAGCAATCCAAATACAGTTTGATAGAGGTCTGAAGCAACGGTTTTTACTGTGGGGGGAGGAGGGGGGGTCTTACAAAAACGATCTGTGTACTACAGAGCTGTGCTACACATGTACCATTAGATCTATTTCCCCATGATTGATTTCTTCCGCATAAATCCAGAACAGGTGTCAAGTCCCAGCCATTATGGGATACTGTGTCAAAATAGCCCGGTCTTTTTAAACTGACACA